CCCCCACACCCGATATCCTAATGGAACCGTCTGCTGGTTATTTTCTTTTGGGGGGTGGGATGTTCATTATGTGTCAGTGCATCTCATTCTACCACTTAGTGATGTGGCCATGTGACCATGTTTTGTGCAAGTGATTCATGCGATGCCGATATATTCATTTGGTTTTCGGTATGTTTTCAACTACATTGTTTTGGTTCTTTGTGTTGGATGTTCTGATGTTTCCTGATATAAAGCTGAATCAGTTAATGATATTGTTCAACTGCCAAACGTACCCTTCTCAATTGCCTGATATTGCAAGTCATTTAACTATGCCCTTATTTCTGATTGTTTATACTGTCTTAATGATGCTTAATATGAACTGGCTCTTTTATCACCTCGGTCATTTTCACCTGAAATGCTGCTATACCCTCTTTAGCAGAACTTTTACATTGTGAGCAGTTTCAGTCGGGCTGAAGGATATGAACCTGGTTCAGTATACTCATATGCTTGGATGATATTTGTATCAATCAACTGAGAGATCTATTCAGAGTTGAAAGTGAACATTGGCTGTGTCTTTTTGTTGAAATTGGCAGCAGACTCCTTTGCTTGCCCTGCTCTTCTCAATTGCCGTTACGTCAGAAGGTTGCCTTTTTGCGGCGCCAACACTTAATTGTACTTGGCTGCCAATATTTTCCTTTTGAGTTTATGCTCGGTGCACTGACAATGTAAGAATTTTTGTAGTAAGTTGACCTACAAAAAGTGTGGGACGCTACGTCAAGCCTGAGATGGTAACCTAGAAAATAGAGTAGAAACTTGCTATAACTGGTTAAATTGCAGTAATGGTGTACATTGTTTTGCACTATCAGTGCGTAGAACTTGAGCTTAGACTCCATTCAAGTTACAATTTATTTGCCTCCGGTGCTGATATCAAATCAATCATAACATAACATTTGTTTTCTGAATACTCTTTTACTCATCTAACCATGGTAAATTATTGTGCGTTTTCACATCATTTATTACTTAACCATGGTAAAATATATTGATCTGCTGTAAATATCGGGCAAAATTTAACCAATTACATGATTAAGAGGACAAGGAAAAGAGAGAAAGGTGGAGAGAATGAATGCTTTTGTATTTAGTGGTAACTGAGATAGACCTTGTCTCTGTAGTCCAGAAGTACCTCAATTAGTACATTAATCAAGTGTTGCTCGACAAATTGCCATTGAAAATGTTTTCTTCAATTTGTCTCCTATCACCTGTTGTGGTAACGGAAATGGAATAACTCCAACTTGAGCGTAATTGATAACTCTTGTAATTAACAAAAGGCATTTATTCCACTCAAATATCTAAATTGTACAATAAATTTGTAAAAACTTAGTCGCTCGTATGAGGAACTCGAGGGCCGAGGTGGGGATAAGAGGTTGTTCAGGTTAGCCAAGGCGCAAGAAAGGAAGGCGCGTGACTTGGACCAAGTGAACTGCATTAAGGATGAAGAAGGTAGAGTTTTGTAGGATGAGGGGCTTATCCGTCGGAGATGGCAGACCTACTTCCATAGTCTCTTGAACGAGGAGGGGACAGGAGCATTGTACTGGGTAATTTGGAATTCTCCCGGAGTCGTTGTGATTTTGGGTACTGTAGGCAGATTAGAGTTAATGAAGTTGAGGGGGCTATGCGTAAGATGAGCAGGGGCAAAGCGACCGGGCCAGATGAAATTCCGGTGGAGTTATGGAAGAGTGCGGGCAAGGCAGGCTTGGAGTGGCTCACTAGGATATTTAATGTCATTTTTAGAACGAAGAAGATGCCCGAAGAGTGGAGGTGGAGCACGATGGTTCCAGTATACAAGAACAAGGGTGATATTCAAAATTGCAATAACTATCGGGGTATCAAGCTACTTAGCCATACTATAAAAGTCTGGGAGAGAGTGATATAGATAAGGGTGAGGAGGAGTGTGTCTATTTTCGAGAACCAGTTTGGGTTTATGCCGGGACGTTCGACAACAGAAGCCATCCACCTTGTTAGGAGATTGATGGAGCAATATAGGGAGAGAAAGAAGGACTTGCATATGGTGTTCATCGACTTAGAAAAGACGTATGATAAAGTTCCGAGGGAGGTTTTGTGGAGATGTTTGGAGGCTAGAGGTGTACATGTTGCCTATGTTAGGATGATTAAGGATATGTATGATGGAGTAAAGACCCGAGTGAGGACAGTGGGTGGGGACTCAGACCATTTTTCGGTTATGATGGGGTTGCATTAGGGGTCAGCACTCAGCCCTTTTTTGTTTGCTCTGATGATGAACGTACTGATGCGCCACATCCAAGGGGAGGTGCCGTGGTGCATGCTATTTACATATGATATTGTATTGATTGACGATACGCGAGACGGTGTCAACGCGCAATTAGAGGTATGGAGGCAGACCCTGGAATCTAAAGGTTTCAAGTTGAGCAGGACCAAGACAGAAAACTTGGAGTGTAAGTTCAGTGGCGAGACCCAAGGAGGGGAAGGGGAGGTGAGGCTGGACTCGCAGGTCATTCCTAAGAGAGGAAATTTTAAGTACCTTGGGTCTATTATTCAGGGGATGGGGAGACTGATGAAGATGTCACACATCGTATTGGGGTGGGATAGATGAAATTGAGACTCGCTTCCAGTGTTTTACGTGACAAGAAGGTGCCACCAAAACTTAAGGATAAGTTCTACAGAGTGGTGGTCAAACCAACGATGTTGCATGGGGTTGAGTGTTGGCCAGTCAAGATCGCTCATGTGTAAAAGATGAAGGTAGCAGAGATGAGGATATTGAGATGGATGTACGGGCACACCAGGTTAGATAGGATCAAAAATGAGGTTATTCGCGACAAGGTGGGTGTGGGCCCCTATTGAGGACAAGATGCGGGAAGCGCGGCTTAGGTGGTTTGGTCATGTGAGAAGGAGGAGCACAGACGCCCCAATGAGGAGGTATGAGAGGTTGACGTTGGAGGGCCTACAGAGAGGTAGATGTAGGCCAAAGAAGAGGTGGGGAGAGGTGATTAGGCAAGACATGGCGCACCTTCAGCTGACCGAGGACATGACCCTTGATCGGAAGGTATGGAGGTCGAGGATTAGTCTAGAGTGTGCATAATAGTAGTATTGGCACGCAGTCTCGCTTTATGTTGGTAGTAGGTTTTTATGACTAACCGTTATTTTCTTTCATTGTTGATCACTTTAGTATTTTGTTATTTTTATTCTACTTTTATATGGCTTTTTGGTACTGTCCCTTCTTGTCTATATTTTCATTAATGTGATGCTTATGCTTTCCTGAGCCGAGGGTCTATTGGAAACAGCCTCTCTATCCTCACAATGTAGGGGTAAGTTCTGCGTACACACTACACTCCCTAGACACCACAGTGTGGGATAATACTGGGTATGTTGTTGTTATTATAATATATTCCTAAACATGAAATCTATCTTTTAATTATTTACTTGGAGAGAGGTGATTAAGCAGGACATGCCACATTTTCATCTTATCGAGGATATGACCTTGGAGAGGAGAGTGTGGAAGTCGAGAAGATGAAAATGTGTCATGTCCTGCTTACAAAAAACTTGGTTCTTTACCTTACTCCTTAAACGTGAAGTAATATTGTCACGACCCGAAATTCCTACCTTCGGGACCGTGATGGCGCCTAACATTTTACTTGCTAGGTAAGCCAATGTTAGAATAATCTTAACTATTTTTTAAACAAATTAAATTAAACGGAAGTCGATTACTGAAATAAAGTGCGGAAGACCATAACTACCGAATCATCAAAATACATCCCCGAATCTGGTGTCACAAGTGCATGAGCTACTAGAATAATACAAATAAAGGGTCTGAATAAAATTCAAGTTGTTTGAAAGATAATACACAGCTAAGATAAAGTAGAAGGGGACTTCAAAACTGCGGACATTGTGCAGTTATACCTCAAGTCTCCTCTGAGCTGAATCCGAGCAAGTCTATGGTACGCCGCTGGGACCAACTCCAAAATTCGCACAAGAAGTGCAGAGTATAGTATAAGTACAACTGATCCCATGTACTCCATAAGTGTCGAGCCTAACCTCGACGAAGTATTGACGAGACTATGACAAGACACGTACGTAAACAACATGTACAAGAATATACAAATACGAAGCAACAATAAGACAATAAATAACAATTTATAAATTGGGAGGGAACACGCAAAGGGGAATGATATAATAATTTCAGCAGGAGAAATGTTATGTAGCAGCCAATTAATTCATCAATAATAAAATGAGCAGCTGGCAATATGAAAATGGCACGGCACCACCCTTCGTGCTCTTACTCTCATTCTTTCCATTAATTGATAAATAAATAATAAGATTGGCACGACATCACTCTTCGTGCTTTAGCTCTCTTTCTTGCCATGTATTGATAAATAAATGATAAGATTGGCATGACATCTCCCTTCGTACTTTAACTCTCTTCCTCACTTCATAATTCAATAAATAATGATGTGAAACTGTCACGGCATCACCCTTCGTGCTCTTACACTCTTTGAAAATGGCACGGCATCACCATTCATGCTTTTACACTCTTTCTCACCATGATAAGGGTAATATAAATAATATAAATGGCACGACATCACCCTTCGTGCTTTTACACTTTTTCACAATATTCAACAATAATTAAATCAATAATAATTTCATGAATAATGATCAAATAATCAATAATAAACTTAAGCAGGAATATCTTAATTAAATAAGCAATTATTCACAATGAACAAATTCCTCCCTTTGACTAAACCACAACGTATAAGTACTTGTAACCTTAAATATACGTTGTACTTACACATTAAATCATATAGCAAATAGACAAACAAGTCCTACTCCCTCAAGTCAGGGTTAACCACGACACTTACCTCGATTAGTCAATACAAATTATAGGAATTAATTCCATATGAAAATATTATTTTTCCAACAAAATCCGAAATTGCACTCATAAAAATCGCCAGTAAGGCCCACATCTCAGAACCCGACAAAAGATACAAAACCCGAAAGCTCATTCAACTACGAGTCTAATCATATAAATTTTACCAAATTCCAACATCAACTCGACCCTCAAATGTTCAAATTAAACTAAGAGGTTTTCTAAATTTTCCAACTTAATTCACCAATTAAATGTTAAAAATAATTATGAATTCGGGTAATTTGACCAATATTGAGTTAAGAACACTTTCCCCGTTGTTTTCCTTGAAAATCTCCCGAAAATCACCTTTTACCGAGCTCCAATTCGTCAAAAATAGAAAATGGGACGAAGTCCCATTTTCAGAACTTAAACGCTCTGCCCATTGATTTCTTCTATGCGATCGCAGACCAATTTCCGCGATCGCGAAGAACAAAATAATTACCGCCAAAAAATGGCCTATGTGAACGCGGAGGCGTCCACGCGAACGCAGACCTCTACTTCTCCTAACTTACGCGATCACGGTTCCTCCCATGCGATCGCGAAGTACAAACGCGTGACGCCCAGTTGCCTCATTTTCCTCTTTGCGAACGTAGCCTAGCCCACACGTTCGCGATGCACATTTTCCTTAAGCTACGCGATCGTGGTTCCCTACACATGATCGTGTAGAGTAAAAATCTCCACTGCCCATTTAAGCCTACACAGTCGCGGACCTTTTCACGTGATAGCGTAGAAGAAAACCAGACTTGTGCACCAAAAATCTTCAGCAAAACACCAAGTCCAAAAATTGATCTGTTAACCATCTGAAACTCACCCGAGGCCCCCGGGACCTCAACCAAATATACCAACAAGTTCTAAATATCATATGAACTTAGTCAAAGCCTCAAATCACATCAAACAATGCTAAAACCATAAATCATACCCCAATTCAAGCTTAGGGAACTTAAAAATTTTTAACTTCTACATTCGATGCCGAAACCTATCAA